CTGTCATATCAATAACCTTTGGTTTGCCATCACTTGTAATCTAATGTTAATTAAAGTAATAAAATAACTTATAAAGTTTATAGTATTTAAAAATAACATTAATATATTTATTAATGTTTATTTGTATTCAAATATTTTCAGATGTTAATATACTGTATTAGCACAACAGCACATACCTGAAGACCCGGTGCTCCGGGATCTACTCCAGTGTCAAATATAGCAATCCTAACACCTCTGCCGTCATAATCGGGGTATTTCTTGAGAAATGATGTGACAGTTGTCTCACGTTTGGGCTGTAATGCCCACAATGGGAAATCTGACGACAAAACTTTCTCGGGCATTATTTAATCAATTTAATTATAATTATTGCTAAATTATAATTAAATAAACAGTTAAAATAAAAGCATAAGCACAAAGTGTTTATTAATATTATAATTTATAAATTATTCGTATGAAAAAATGCTTTTTCTAACAAAGCAGTTAAAATGGCTTTTGTTGTATAAAAATGAATGTACAGTACTTTTGGCAATACAATGGCCCACACAATGTCAAATATAGTTTAACACTTCAAGCACATTATGCAATAATTTACTGTTATTTCATCACTTTTAAACTATATCATTTAAATAGTCTGCTGGTTAATTAAAATATTTGTAATACACTTTTTGGTTAATTGAACGAATAACAATTAATTTAATTATTATTTATTTAGTTTAAATAATTTACTTCAATCATAAAGTTTAGATGAAACTAAAATGCATAATACAATACAACATTCTTTCGTTGACTACAACGGATGTAAAGGGTTTAAGCACCAGAATATACAGCAGTCAACTACCATAAGCTACTGTAACCAAATGGTACCCCAAAACTGGTTTAGTACATAAAGGGCAATAAATATGTAAATCTCTCTCTCTCTCTCTCTCTCTCTCTCTCTAACTATAAGAATGCAAGAATTACATGGAAACATTATTTATTATGACCATTATGATGTTGCTTGAGACGTGAAAATGCATACATTTTTTTATAAGTATGTGTATCAAGTTAGGCAAAGTATAGCTCTCATTTCTGTTGAAGTAAACTTAGTAAGTTTAACTTACCATGTTTTCTGAGAATATACATTTTAATTTTTATTTCATTACTATAGAAAAAATTAATGTCTTAAATAAACACAATATTACAAAATAGGAGCATAATAGTTTTAATAATAATTTATGTGTACTAATTTATTAATATAAAATAGTTATGGGCCATATGACAGTGAGTTACGTTAAATTACCATAATACTGTGTATTTAATATTGAGCATACAGAGTAAATAAAATGTATAACTCAAAAATTAAACATAATTATGATTTTATTCTAAATTTTGCATTACGTAATTAATAAAATAAATAAAATTCTGCATGATAAATAGTATATTGTTATATGGTAATTATGATATTCATTGTTATTGTATAATTTACATGAATTAAATAAAACAGTATAATGACTAAAATCTAACAAAACATTACACTAATCAGGCAATTAATATTAAAACCTTTAAATTATGAAGATTTTTAACTCTCCTGTTGTGTGCGAAAATTCATTATCACCATTATCATTATAACCGGAATGTAATTTATTAATTTTTGTAAATAAAAATGGTGTTATTTAATTAAACAATTAAAAATTTTATTTCAAATTCTATTACACTAGTAGTTGTCAATCAAAAATAACTTTATTTTATAAGTAATCATAAAGTATTTCGATCACGATAGCATAATTTAAAATGCGTTGAATAATTAATTGGTTTACCATCAGAACATTCTAAATTAACACGTTTATATAACTCATTCTCCATCAACCAATACGACCGACAGTCGTTACAATCTAAACTTTTAACATAGTTAAACCAAATAAAATTGTTGGTGTGTGCCACATAAAACGGGCGAAACACTCGCTCGTTTAGATAAAGAAACTGGCCACGCTGATTTTGCAACCAAATGGTCGTGGGACGTTTTATGTCACTAAGCGCACCAGGCTCAAAACTTGAATCATTTAACGCGTTGTTTGGTAGTAAGATGTTTAACATTTTATCGCTTGACGTACAGAATGCGAACGCATTGGCCATTATATGGTTAATATTATTATTGTATTGAAAATCAATTAATATTAAATTCGATAAACCACTGAACGCATAGCTACCGATGGTTTGACCCGAATAAATATTCAATTGCTTTAACCTTGATTGTTTATTATTAGAAAACGCGTGCGATGGCACTATGGTGAATCTTGAATTAAATTTGTCAGTGATAACTGTTGCGTTGATAAATTTGCTCATCACCGAGTATATTGAATCTTGTTTCAATAAATTATTATAACCAATAAACAATGTATTTGTAACGTTGTATGTTTGCATAAATGCATCAGGATGAATATGCACCAGATTGGTGCTGGTTATCTCAATTTTATTAAACACAATATCCTGAAATGTGTTGGCATTTATTTCAGTTACTCTTGTGTTGTTAAATGTAAAATGGTCAAAATGTTTTTGTTTTGGTTCGAGTGATTGACTTAATTTGGTGAACATTTCAACCAGATCAATATCGGCGTTTCCAAAACACTCAATGTAATTATATTGACAACCTGTACAACCGTATGGTGTGATTACGCTTATGTTAGGACATTCGCCATTAACGATCTTGGTATTTACATAAATTGATAAAATCGCCGTTAAATCTGAAAAATAACATAGATTATTTTAAAATATAATTGTTGTTTAATTTATTTAATGTTAGTTAAAACTCACAAAATAATAGATTCATTATTAAATGTTATTACAAGTTACACTAAATTGCATTTAATTATAATGAACAATTAATGTTTTTTTTTGGTAATTTAAACAAATTTATATACGTTCATAAAATATATAATATAAGTTATAATAGTTTATATAAAAATAATAAAATTTGATTACAATTTCGGCGTTTTTAGAAAAATTGAAAAACAAAATAATAAAAAAGATGTTTTATAATTTATAATAAAATATATTAATTAATTATTAGATAAATGCAATTAGCAATAATATTATTCTTGTAATAGAAATGAATTGATTACACGATTTCTAATTCATGTATTAATAATTAATATATAAAATATAAAACATAAAGACATAAACATTTCTTTGTATAATAAAATAATAAAAAATGTTAAATAATAAATAATTTAAAATAAAGTCAAGTTAATAATTATAAGTTGTAATTTGCAATTCAAATAGCAATTAATTTACTTAATTTTATATTATTACTATATTCAGTGAAATTATTGAAATAATTAGTTCTCACAGTATTTTTAAAATTTTAATTAATATTTTTCAAATATCAAATTACAAACTTTTAACTGAAAATATTCCGAAAACTAGATTTATTTTAAACCATTAATAAACGCATAAAACTTAAATGGTAATTTACATGATAAAATATATATGACAGTGAAGTTTGTAAGATAAAGACAATATTTATTTTAATTGGATAGATAGTGTAAGAGTTAAAAATAAAATAAATATGATAATCTAATTTAACATAGGAGTAACATTAAATTATTGTATAAATAAATATGTATCAAAATAGTCGATATTCATTGGGAAACATAGCGTTAAAGTTGCGAACGCAATGGCTATCAAGGTGAGTCCAATTCATGCTTTTAAATATCTGTAAAATATCATTAAATTAATTTTAACTATCAGGAACTAAAATCATATTTAGAAAATACCTTCATCATTTTATACCCTGTTTCAAGTGTGGGCACAGCGAGAAACTGTTTGAGATACACATTCAGCGCCCGGCAGTAATGCCTGTGCAAAAGGGCGTGACGTTCAGTGAATTCACGCACAGTTGTGTCGTACATATCATCTGTCAGTTTAGAGATCTCTTCGTACACCTGATCCGCATCCGAGATAGTAAACGATGGCAGAGTTGGCGCTGTATTACCATTAGTTAGTGTTTCACCGATTGATGAGATAATATCAATAATACCATTGGAATTAATGCCAGAATCGGTGCTATCATCAGAGGACTCTTCACTCATTTGATCCGCTTTCAGCTCCGACACTGACTGTCCGTCTATGAGCTCACAAATGGCCACACCTTTAATGACCATCACATCTAAAATAGTCGACATTTCCGTCTCTAACCTAAAAGTAATTTATTTTTAGTAATAAAAAGTTTGTTAGAAAATTAATGACAATTAAATTCAATTGTAATGTAAAAATCGCAAACTTTTTCAACGCTTTCCGTGTGTCGGCCGACGGCTTTTCAATAGTGAGCGCGGCTTTAGTGGTAATCAAACTTTTACACCCATTTATAGCCAACGCCTGATCGGCCAATACTATCTGCCGGTGTCGGCGCTCATCACTAGGCTCTGACCCATTGAGTGCCCGCATACGGGCCAATATAGCCCGTGTGTTTGTGCTGTCCGCCTCTATTAGCTCGTTGAATAATGTGTCCGACTCTGTGTCCGGTAATCTAATACAAAAAATAATACATAGTTTTAACGTAAAAAATATTGCATTAATAAAAATAACTATTACTTTGAAATCCAATTAATTTTCAAATCTGCGATCGCGTCCAGTAATGAATCCTCACCAACACCTGTGTCCGCACAGTCATCACTACCGGCGCTGCCGTCGGTCGGTTCGTTGGGCGCCCACTGATAGCCACTGTCCACGACATACCGGAACGGGAATACACGGACCAGTCGTCGGTTATCCAACTGAATGGTGCCCTCGAAATGAGTGCCAACGGTGACGACCGGTGCGTCCGCGGGGGCGGCGGTCAGACCGGCGATAAACACCGTGCGATCCGACTCCGGCCGTACGGCACTGTACTCGATAACACCCCACCGGCTCCGGTCGTGTATCGCGTCGCTGTACGTGTGGTACAGGTTTAGCTCTTGCCATATGGGGTACTCTACGCGTACGGGTAAATGATCTAGCTGCTCCAACTGGGCGGTGTTTGTGTGTTTTATTTGTAGCCGAATTGTGTAGTCACCTGATATTAATTCAATCTATTTTGAATAACAATGGTGAAATTAATTTAATTTATAACACTAATAAAGATAGTATAGTTTACTGATAGAATATGGTAATTAATAATTTACCTTTTTGCTATTGTAATCACCAGCAGAGATTTGGCGTTTGGTGGGTGTGTCAAAAATCATCCAGATCAAATTCACATATTCCATCACTACATCACTGCCAAAAGTGTACACTATGTCCACCGTATGATCCTTTGCCTATTTTAATAAGAGATGGTTATAAAAATATAAATGTAATTATCAAAAAATTAAATATTTACCAAGTTTAATTTGTAGGTTAGTAGACACTCGTATAACTGCTGCGCGGGTGGTATAACATCGCGATCGCCCAGTGGGCGAACAATATGCTCAACAGGTCTAAAGTGAGAATAAATAGGCATGGTAATTACAATAGTATTGCATGTTTTATTAATAATTATCTTACTTTAATATTTGCACATATTTACTGAGATAGATGTTGGGCTTAATGGTCATAACACGGGTCATACATTGTATGTCCATTCGGGCGATGCGCTCACTAGACAACTAGAAAAATTAATTAACATTAATTAAAAATTTATATACAAACTATCAAAATCACAACCATGGTCATTTCTTTAATCACAGGCCGGTAGCCATAAAACTCAACGTTGAACGTAACTTTAGTACTGTCCACACATTTCCACGACTGGCCAAAGCATAGCTCGAGAGTGCGGCCACCGGTCACTTCCCGGTCAAAGTCCACCTCATGTCCGGCCGAAAAGCTAAACTCCTCGTCCATGTGGTTGACTGCCCGGCGCTCAATGGGCAGCATTTGCAGCGCCTGGAGATAGTACTCAGTCTCGCCGGTGTGCGCCTGTGTCGGGTCGCTCACTATCCACACCTGCATCGCCGTAACGGTGTCGGGAATGGCTAGGAATTGGCGCCACACGTGACCCGCTTTGCACGTGAGTTTGTGCACAATTTCTAACGACTCGGGCAATCTGTTGGGTATTAATTGACATAGTTGTATACTTTATATAATATAAAACAAGTTTAACATGATTACTTTTCCGGCTTAATAACAGTAACAGGTATGCGAAATACAGGTCCCTTTTCCACGCACTCCGTGTCGTAGGCATTGATCTGTTTGGATGTATTAATTATAGACTATTTGAATCAAGTTTAAATATATAATACTATACCCATGTAAAATAAGCCTGGCCATCATCTAGGCCAATGGGGTTGACTTCAATGGTAATATCTCTGGTACCGTAAGTCAGATGCAAAAATGTGGGATAAGTAATCCACTGGTCGTCGCACACGAGTCTTAACTTTATCTCAAATCCAACTTTTTGTTTATTATCTATAAAATAATAAATAAGTTATTAATAATTATAATAAAAATCAATTATTATTTACCAATATGTTTGTCGTCTAGAAAAAAGGGGTTAATTGTGATGACATGAGTGGTCGGGTGTCTGACATCTGACACTTCCCGGAGATAAATACCCGAATACTTTTCATTAGTTGTGATGTGAAAGTTGACGTCCCGTTCAGTGCAACCCATACTGTATTCACACAAATGTGCAAAAGCCTTCTCAACCTATGGATTGGATTAAAAATAAATATCAATATAAAATTTTGCGAGAGAGAGAGAGAGAGAGAGAGAGAGTCGCAAACCTGGATGAGTCCCAATCCATGAGTGAAGGGCTGGTATTCGTGTACTTTGAATGCCGTGTTTTCAATACTCCGGCGAACACTATATGGAGAGTAAGGCATTGACAGAGCGTTCAAACCGGACAATAACAGAGCCACACAACCGGACACGTGGGGCGCACTCATAGAAGTGCCGCTTTTCAAATCCGCTTTGGATTGATCCCAGACGGGGACCGACGTAATTGCACCTCCGGGTGCGCATACACTCACACCCAGATCACCATTTTCTCTAAAACAATTATGGTAATTGTCATAATTATTGACTAATACCATTAATAAGCTATAGTACTCACGCCGGACCCCGTGATGTCCACGTGTAGCTCAGACCGCGACCATTGGTCTGACGTAATGAGTGCTGGGCTGTCATCATATCCGCCGAGACGTAACCGCCGACGTATATGAATGGGTGTGGATATGGTGTCCACTGGTGTTGGCATGTGGTCAGCGCTGGGCCTTCATTACTGGCGCACACCGTTATTATAATGCCATACTTATCGACCATTTGGTGCATAAAATTCAATACCGGTCTAAACAATATAAACAAATATACATGATTATCTTATTCACTACTGTATTCATCATAATTAACATAGTAAAAATATTAATGTAATAAATGTTACATACGCGCTTACTTCCAACCCGCTGCTAATGTTAATAACGTTACATTTCATCTCAATGGCCCGGTTCATAGCTCTAAATACAATGATAAAATATTATTGAATGAAGTATGTCAAGCAAATAATTTTACAATGTATGATTATTATAAAAATTATCCATTTAAAAGTACTTTTTGGTTTAAACTGTACTTGAGTAAGCAATTAATAATGTTAATAAAATAATTTGATGAACCTGGTAACTGACGAGCTGGTATAAAAATGTTCAGTTAGTCTATTGTCAGCGAAACACAGTGAGACAATCTGAGCGCCGGGCGCCACACCGTCCCGATCGGGCTGACCCGGGAAGTGTGCGGCAGCTATACTGGCCACGTGTGTGCCGTGAGGTCCTAACATTATACACATATGTAGAATATTTATGTATTAACAAGGTAATTATATTTTTTATAAAGCTTACCACACATGGAGACAATTTCCAATAGATTTCCCTCGTTGTGTATGTTTACGCCATAATTTAGCATATCTTCGCATTTTAAAAATGGTTAACTTATTATTATATTTTACATTTTATAACTGTTTAATTACTCACCACGGTCCGATATTGTACCATATTTAAAACAGTCCCTATATGTGGCCAATAAAGTACAGGCATCTAACATTCCAGCACATGTAGTGTCGATAACTGCCCTATTCATGAAAAATATCAATATTATAAAAACATTATTGGTAAAACATTTTAATTAATTAATAATCTGAAGGTAATATGTGATACATAAATGTGTTAAACAGTGGTTACACTCACTGCCAATCGGTTCCGTTATGAAAGACAATGCAATCATAAGTGGGACCAAAGTCTTGGCGATTAGTGTCGACATCCTTTAGAAAGTCAACTCTCGATCGCAACTCTTCGCGCATTAACTTCTGGTCTAAGCTATCATTCATGGCTTCCGTGTGTTTCGACTCAAACGCCTGTAACTCTCTGAGAGCGTCGGCCGTCGCCCGTCTGTGTCCGGGCGTCCATTCACTCGACTCATACTCGGCGGCCATCCGTTCGAGCAATGAATTTGGGTATAATTCATATAGATTTTTTACCCCCACGTGGTATTTGCCCGTAGGGTTTGTCCAGTTACCGGGTATCTGTGTGTGAACAGTAAATTATGGTTAGTTATATTTTAATTATATTTATTATAATTATTAATAGATTAAAAATTGCTCTATATACTCTACAGTTATTAAAAGTATACAAACTTTATATTTTAAAGTTAGCATAATTATTAGATTTTGCATTTTGCAAACTTAAAATTGTTAATAAATCACTGCTAATTAATATAAATTATGTTAGAAATTTATTCTACTCTACCTTAAGTTTAGTACCGGTGAGTCCAGTGATAAAACCCTCGTCATCGACCTCCACAACAGTACTGGTGTCCACATCGCCGGCGCCCGACGTGTCTGTTATATCAATAACTTTTGGTTTACAATCACTTGTAATCTAATATAAATCAAATAAAAATATCATGTTTTAATAAATGTATTGGATTTATTAAATATTATATTTATTACCAAAATGTATTTACTAAGCAGCAGTACATACCTGAAGACCCGGTGCTCCGGGATCTACTCCACTGTCAAATATAGCAATCCTAACACCTCTGCCGTCATATTCGGGGTATTTCTTAAGAAATGATGTAACAGTTGTCTCGCGTTTGGGCTGTAATGCCCACAATGGATAATCCGGTGACAAAACCGGCTCGGTCATTATAATATATACTTATAATAATTGTTTAGCACTTATTATATTGTATATTATTTATTGAGATATACTTATCTAAATTAATATTATTACTACTTTATTGCATAAATATATATTGATATATTTATATTATTATTTATTAAAATAAGCACAACATGTTTTTATATATAAATGAACTTTATGAAATTGTTTTTTCCACAACAAATGATTCAGTTGTATGCATTTTGTTGTATTGAAAATCTATAATGCAACTTCATAGAAATAGTACATGTAATATTGCTGATTTATGTTGCAATAATATTGTGCAATCAATAGAAATACTATTTTATTACTGGTAAACTATTGATTAAATAATAGTATGTTGGTTGAATAAAAATATAATAAAATATTAGGTTAATGGGTAATATAAAAATTGTTTTGTTATTTTCAATGTTTATTTAATATAAATAATTTGCATATCTTATATAATTTAGATAAAAATAACCAAAAACATAATTTCTCAAACTATAACAAACATTATTTGTTACATAAGTACGGATAAACGTAAGGTAAATCCTATGTATGTTGCTATACATATCATTGTGTTTCAAAACAGGTTTATATAACATTAGTAATTACAGGAAACCTTGATATTTGAATACAAAGTATACTGTTTGCCACTGGAAAGTGTTATTATATATAATTGTTTGTGTAGTAAATATGATATTGTAAGTAAATCTCAATAAATACTATTCATTTGGTTTTATTGTTAAATATAAAGTACAACATAAATTATAATTTATAATATTGTCATCTTTACTGGATGTAATTAATTTAATTACTTTAATTAATTTTAGACTTTTACTAGATGTCATTTAATGTTATAATCGATTTGCCCCAAAGTATAGTCACAAACATCTGATCGGTAAATGTTTTCATCCATCGGTTGTCCATTAATTGAGGCACAGATTTGTGACTCAATTGAATTCATTGTATTGTTTTGTCGGTTAGCTCTCAATAGAGAAACACATCTAATGTTATAATTAGAAATGAAATGAAATTTACATTAAATAAAACAACAAAATAACTGATATTTTATAAACATTTAATTAAATGATTACTTTGAAAATATGCACATGATTGTTAACAATAATTATTGTTAATGACCAGTTTGATTTAAACCAATTGATACAACATTTTTACACGTGCTCCATAATAAATAATAAACAAATATTTTATTGTAGTTTTTAAGCAATAAAGCAAATAAGCAATAATAAGCAAAGAATTACAGATAAGATAAAAACGAGATTATTTTGTTGATAAAACAATTATTATTATTTTTAGTGATAGTTGCTTTTTATTTATTTATAAGGCTGAGACTTTAGTACATTTTTGGTACAAAAAACTATATATTAAAGTGTAATTTTGTATGTTTTGCACCTTAATCTAATACTTTTAATGTAAAATCTTATAAATGAATCATGTTGAAATATACATTAAAAATATAATTCCTAGCCTTAGTAATTAACATACTTCAAGTATTTTAAATATAAATT